AAAATTATTTAAATATTTTTTAAGTCTTTCTGCCAATATTGAAGCAAAGATTTTATAATCTGCATTTAGTAGAGAAATGAGTCTATAGTTTTTAAATTGTAATGGGTCGGCCTCCTCTTTTGGAATAAGTGTAATATAGGCTTCTGACCATGATTTAGGTATCTTCTTCTTTAACATAACTTCATTCATAACTTCTAGCAATGGAAGATTCAACGATTCTTGTAATGTTTTATAAAATTCTGCCGGAAGTCCATCTGGACCTGGTGCCTTTCCATTATTTTGCTTCTTGAGTGCTTCAGTTAACTCCATCATCGTTATATTGCTTTCTAACATTTTTTCAGTCTCTTTAGGTATCTGAGGTAAATTAGCATTCTGTAAGTACTGCTTAACTCTTTCCTCATCAATATTCTCTTGCACATATAATTTCCCATAGAAGTCTCGAATGATTTCCTTCTTCTCTTTGCTACCATGGCAAACTTGGCCTTGGTCATCTATTAATTGCAACATTTTCCTTGATTCTTTCTCCTTTCTCAATTTGTATGCTAACCATCTACCTGGTTTGTTTGCGTCTTCAAAGTAGTTCTGTTTAGTACCTCTAATTTTCTGTACTAATTCTTCTTTTTCTATTTGACCCATTTTTTAATTATATCCATTTTTAGCTTGATGTCCTTTTTCTGTGGCATTTTCTATAGCTCTTTTTCAAGTCTTTTATGCTCATCCTCTAGGGCCTTAGAGGCTAGCCTTTTCATAGTATTCCTTTTCCTTGTATAGTCTATTATCAAGCCTCTAACACATGCCTTCATTGTATCCCATACATTCTGAATTGATGTATCTTCTTTTTTGTTTTCTCTAAAGAAAAAAGCCAATTCTTTCTCCATCCACTGTGTGAAGTCTTTTTCCTTTAAAATAGTATTATTTAAAGTCCATCTAGATCTTCTTTTTTGTCCTTTCCATTTAATTGTCATTGGATTGTGATCTGCCCAAGTATTTGTTTCAATATTTATTTCTTGAATGTTAGATATTAATTCTGTTGACATCATATCTATTCTGGACCATGATAAGTGTCTATTTGAATAGAAGGTGTATTGTTTAGCTTTAGCATTTCTTTCTCTCCATGTATCTTTTAAATTTATTTCATCTACCATTTTAAAAAAAGATTTAGGGAGAGTCTTTCTGTTTTCCTTTATTGTTTTCTGTGCTGTATAGTCCAATTTATTGTCTACAATTCCATTAAAATCTCCCATCATAACTATATTAGCATAGTCCAATTCAATTATTTTCATATGTAATTTTTTGTAGAATTCTTCTTGTTTGTCATTTGGAGCATAAATTGCAATCAGGAGTGTTTTCATATTATTGTCCATTATTTCCACCATTGGTATTCTTCCATCATCATCGGTATAGATCAATTTTGCTGGGGTGGTCTCTTTAATATATAAAACCACTCGTCTTTTCTTACATTGGGTCAAGGAAGGAAATATTTTCCCTAATTTTGGCTGTACCAACAATTGTTCATATTGTTTTTTAATATGTACTTCTTGTAGACAAATTATATCAAATTTTAATTTCTCTAATTTATGAAAGGTTTTCCTTCTTTTAACGGCTGAGTTAAGTCCATTTATATTAATTGTAATCAATTTTTTCTCTTCCATGGTTATATTTTATAGTTAAGTTTAGCAGCTCTTGTAGATCTTAGTTCACGTTGTTCTTTGGCTTCCACCTTTCCACCTACTGCACCTTCTTCTTTTTCAGTCGCCATTTGGCAGTCCTCTTGGGATTCAGTTAGTGAGATCTCTTTTTCTGCCTCTTCCTCTTTCCTTCCAAAAAAATTCTGTATAAAATAATTCCGCTTTCTCAATTGAGTCAATTCTATGTCTCTGTTCTTGCCATGTGAACATTAAACCTTCTGGAATCAGCCATCTATAATTCACCTCTTTTTAAAGTAGCATTTTAGTCAGGAATCGGTGTTCTCTTCTCATCTCTCTCACTCTTCTGGGTATTTGTTTCAAGACCACAATCTCCTTGTCTTTGTATTTCAATGTTTTCTCTTTTGCCACTTGCAATATTTGCGTTTTAATGGCTTTCTTTGTAAATCTAATGTGAACTTCTCTTGGTAAGCTATTTCTCATCGCATATCTTGTGAAAACTCAATAAACCTCATCTATTCCATCCATCATCTTCTCTTGAGTTATTTCCAAAGCTTCAGCCAGTATTTCTATCATTATCTCAGCTAAGTTTTGTCCTTTTTCTTCCTCTACGTTTTGGAATCTAAGATAGAATTTTGATCTATCCATCTCCCATCTCAACATACCACTTTTATCTTGTTCAACCACCATGAATCTATTATCAATATCTCCAATCTTCTTGTCTCTTTGTTTATCTTCTTCAATTTTTTGGAATCTCTCATCATACTTCAACATCATTTGTTGGATGTTCTTCCCTTTTTCATCGGTTTTCCCTGTTCTTTGTTCAATGTTCTCTGTTCTTTGTTCGATGTTCTCTATTCTCTTTTCAATATTCTCTGATCTTGCTTGAATATTTTGAATTCCTTGCATAATTATCTGCAGAGTCACTTTTTCTTGTTCTTTTTCTTGCTTTAACATTGTTTGTATTGAACGTTGTCCTCCAGATGGTGGAGAGGAAGAAGTAGAAGTTGAAGAACCAGGAGCTATAAATTTCCTACTCATTTTAAGCAATTCAAAATCTTCAGGTTCTTCTAAACCTTAATCCAATTGTGAAGTAACCAATTATAGTTCAAAATAAAAATAGTAGAAAAAAGAAGCCCAATAATAATAATTTAAAAATAATTAAAAAAAAAAGAAAAAAAAGGGAGGACAAAATTTCTTCAAGTTCTTGTATACCTTAATCCAATCAATAGTTAGATAAAGAAAAAGACTTTTTTTTAAAAAAAAAAAAGGAAAAGGAAAAATTCTTCAGGTTCTTCAACACCTTAATCCAATTGAAAGGTCTCAAATAGAAAAAAGTGCATAAGAATAAACCAGAAAGGTAGATGAAAAAACAAAAATACCAGGAAAGAAAAAAAAAAGGCTTTTAAGTCTTTCCCTTTAAAATAAAAAGCAAACATAGAGATTGGACTTCCAAAAAAAAAGAAAAAAGAAAAAAGAAAAACAAAGAGAAGCTCCAACGAAGCCAAAAACCCAAATAGTTATTACAAAAAAAAAAAAAAAAAGATTAAAAAAATACAATAAAGCTGGTGAGGAGGGATAGCACAACTTAGGAAAAGTAAAAAGGGCACACTGCACTTTGTTTAATTATCCAAGGCTCTTATTATAACTCTCTTCTCCAAAAACTTATCACCTTTCCCCCCTACATTTCAACACCAGACTCCAGCTGTTGATAGAAACCCAGAAGAGCACCTGCAATAATACTCTCCCATGCTCTTCCCTCAATCTTATCAAATAGCAATGTCCTTGAAAAAGAGCCTGTTCTTTCTTTCTCAGCTTTGTCTGGTCACAGGGAAATAGAATATTTTCAAGCCTCTAGTTGGCAGTGTTACAAAGTTTCTTTGCTCTCACTTTCCCCCTCCTTTTCCGAGTAGGATATAATAAGAATTAATAAAAAAAGAAAAGATATTTTTTTTTAAAAATGAAATAACTAAAGGGAGCCTCTAGCCTAAAATATTACAAAATCAAAAAGGAGAAGAAAAAAATAGATATAAATGAAAAAACCAGTCCAGTTTCAAAATACAAGATCATATATAGAAGATCCAGCAATGAGAAAAAAAACAAAAAACATTACTTTGACATTCCTGTTTAAAATCGCCGTTTAATCACTTCTGTCAAAACTTTTACAGATTCTTTCTTTTCCTTAGGGTGTCCTTTCAGATCTTAAAATAAAAAAAAAAAGTTCTCACCAAACCGGCACACTCTCTCTTTCTGCTCTCTTCTGTTTCGGAGCTGTCCCAACTTCAGCAGCTTTAATGGCTGCCTCTTTGCCGCTGGCAAGAAGAGCTTCACCTGGATCTACCAGGGACTTTGCAGTATCCCTGGGATCGACAGGATGCGCTCTTCACTTTCACCATCTCTTTGGGACGGTTTAGATCCGATAGGACCATCCAGGAGCAAAGATATCGGCAACGATCTCAGACCTCCAAGATCGCATGCCGTATCGTTGCAGCGCCAGCTCCGCCCTCGAGTTTTCTGCCTATTCTTGTCCCCTCTTTCAATGGCCTTTCATCAATCTACATCTGTATCACAATGTTTTACTTTATATTTCCACTAGTTAACGTATTCCTAATTAAAATGCTTGCTTACTGAGCTTAGTTGAATGCCAATTCTATAACATTGTGTTCTATTTCTTAGCTGTGCTTCTGTAGCTTTTAAACTAGGCTATTGGTAAGGTTGCAATATTTTTCTAGCGCTTATGAAAGAATAATCTAATCTGATTCATAAACTAGGTTAAATTAATAAAGTAAATTGGGTTGTGGGAATGGAGGGAAGTGAGGCTATTTGATAACTGTGATCATATTGTGTCTATGGAGGCTCTCAATCATCCAGGACATGGTTGCCCCAAAGGTGGATTTTCCAAAAGATTAATGGACTTTCTTGGTTTTGTTTAGCTTCTCATCCAAGAAGCTCCTTCATTTATGAAGAGAAGTGAAATATTTTCAAAGAAAAGAAACCAAGAAAGTCCAGTTGCCTTTAGAAAAGCGCCTATGAGTGACCATGCTATATTTTTAAACAAAGCATTGAAGATAATTTGGCTCATCTGCAGATGTACCAGAAGAAAATCCAGTTTTGGATGGGTCACAATTTACAAAGTATGCCATTTCATTTAATAACTCAAGAGATCCCATTATTCTTCTACATATAAGATGTTGCATCTGTGCCTGGATAGGAAGGGAAAGGATATGCTGAAGGTTTTTGAAGGGGATGGAGGTTCAATTAATCTCACCTCTCATTCATGTTGCATCCTTGCAAGTGATTGCTTCCAACCGATCTCCTAATGCTTCTAGGTTAATCCTGGTGATTTCATTTCAGCTAGCCCAAAAATATGGTCCCGTCTACAGTCTCTATCTCGGAGGAAAGCGTGCAGTCTTCATTCATGGGTTTTCTTCAGCCAAAGAGGTCCTGGTGACAAAAGGCCTAGAATTTGCTGGGAGGCCAGATAATCCATTAGTAGATTATATTGTTAAGAGAAAAGGTACACAATATATCATTTGTAAACACTATTTTTCCTCTCTACTCTTGTTATTCTCTTTGTTGGATGTTTGTGTTACGTTGGCAATTATGAGATTGATGGCTACCTGAATCCATAGAATGATTAAGTAATTAATCAGGTTTTACCATTAGGTAAGCATAAGATAAATACTGGTAGTCCTCAATTTATGACTACAAGTGAGCCCAATAAGCAAGACAGTTGTTAAGTGAGTTTTGCCTCATTTTACGACCTTTTGTACCATCATTGTTAAGCGAATCACTGCAGTTGTTAAGTTAGTAAACAGAATTGTTAAGTGGATCGGGCTTCCCCACTGAATTTCCTTGTCAGAAGGTCGCAAAAGAGGCTTCACATGACCCCCAGGACAATACGACCGTCATAAATGAGAATTAGGTGCCAAGCAGCTGAATTTTGATCATGTGACCAGGGGGCTGCTGCTATGGTCATAAGTATGAAAACCAGTCATAAGTCACTTTTTCCCCAGTGGCATTGTAAGTTCAAACCATCACTAAACTTCAGAGGGTAATTAGGATTGCAGAAAAAACAATGGCTTCCAACCTGCCTTCCATGGAGGACCTACTGCACGAGTTAAAAAAGGAGGGCTGTGAAAATATTTACAGATCCCTCACATCCTGGACATAAACTGTTTCAACTCCTTCCCTCAAAAAGACGCTATAGAGCCCTGCACACCAGAACAACTAGACACAAGGAGAGGTTTTTCCTCCATGCTATCACTTTGCTAAACAAATAATTCCCTCAACACTGTCCAAAGTCTGCACTACTATTACTGCTAATCTTCTTATCACTCCTTTATCATCCATCCCCTCCCACTTGTGACTGTATGACTGTAACTTTGTCGCTTGTATCTTTATGATTTATATTGACTCTTTCCTAGTATGATTTGATTGCTTATTGTACTGTATGACTATTAATAAGTGTTGTACCTGATGATTCTTGACTCTTGGCGAATGTATCTTTTCTTTTATGTACACTGAGAACATTTGCACCAAGACAAATTCCTTGTGTGTCCAGCCACACTTGGTCAATAAAAATAATTCTATTCTATTCTAAACGAACTGCTGTAAGGATTACCTGTCCTTGGAAATCCCTGTAGTTCCATTGTTTCCTTTTCCACCTTTCATTTTTATAGGCATAATCACAGCCCCTTACGGCGAAGCGTGGAAAGAACAACGGAGGTTTTCACTGATGCTTCTCAGGAACTTTGGACTGGGCAAAAAATCAATGGAAGAGAAGATCTTGCAGGAGGCAACTTGTTTGATTGAAGCATTTGCTGAAAACTCAGGTAAGCTCACCTGGGGCAGGACGGGATGGCTGGGGAATTTTCACACCAACGTGACTTCTTTTTCCACAGGACAGAATTCAATTGATTTCACGGTTGACTCATGTTTTTGTGTGTATGTGTGTGTGTGGGTTGATGCAGAGTGGGAGGAGCTTAGCATCCTGGTTGTATAAAACTTAAAGCAAATTCCAATGCAAGATAATATTTGTAGGTTTCAGATATTTCATTCCCCTATTAGGTAACAGGATGATGTTACGTAGGTGGGTAATGAAATTATCTGGGGGAAATGGCCATTGGAACTTCAAATCCCAATCTAATCACCTTGTTTGTGGCCTGATGTAACTTTGAACAGTTGTAAGCTGAGGGCTTTTTGGGGTGTAACCATTTAGAATGGGAAGAAGGCCTAAGTGAGGAAGCAGCCTGGTGTTCCTACATAAACACCAAGAGCGCTCGACCTCTTTTCCCCTTGAATCCTTCTCTGGTCTTTCCCAGGAGAAATCTTCCAGTCTAGGGAGGTTCCTGTATTACAGGCAAAGAACAATAAAGTAGCTAGCTTGAATTACACACATATGAGTCTGGTTGTTCATGCATCAGGATTTTTGTTGTTAGTTGCGAAGTCGTGTTTGACCCATCACAACCCCATGGACAATGCTCCTCCAGGCCTTCCTGTCCTCTACCATCTTCTGGAGTTCATTTAAGCTCAGGCCGACTGCTTCAGTGACTCCATCCAGCCCCCTCGTTCTCTGTCGTCCCCTTCTTCTTCAATTGCCCTCAATAGTTCCCAGCATTAGGCTCTTCTCCAGTGAGTCCTTCCTTCTCATGAGGTGGCCAAAGTCTTTTGAGTTTCCTCTTCAGGATCTGGCCTTCTAAAGAGCAGTCAGGGCTGATCTCCTCTAGGACTGAACGGTGGGATCGCCTTGCAGTCCAAGGGATTTGCAGGTATCTTCTCCAGCACCATAGTTCAGAGGCCTCCATTCTTTGGCATTCAGCCTTTCTTTCTTTTCTTTTTTTTTAAGTAAGAATTTTTATTTTTACTTAAGAGTTTTAAAATCTTTATCATATCTAGAATATATTTGCACATATGAAAACCAATTCATCCTTATACCATGTTCTTTTAGTTTTATTTATTTATTTATTTATTTATTTGATTTGCCAATTGTTTACAAGATAATAAGTATAAGTGTATACATAGTTGTGAATACATGATATGGGTACATATAAGAAAAATAAAAGAATAAGAGAAACAATAGGACAGGGACGGTAGGCACGTTGGTGCGCTTATGCACGCCCCCTACAGACCTCTTAGGAAGGGGGTGAGGTCAATAGTAGACAGTCTAAGGTTAAAGTTTTTGGGGTTTGGGGAAGAGACTACAGAGTCGGGTAGAGTATTCCAGACATTGACCACTCTATTGCTGAAGTCGTATTTCCTGCAATCAAGTTTGGTGCGGTTTACTTTGAGTTTGTATCTATTGTGTGCTCTTGTGTTGTTATGGTTGAAGCTGAAGTATTCATTGACAGGTAGGACATTGCAATGTATGATTTTATATACCATGCTTAAGTCAGACCGAAGACGGCGTAATTCAAGGTTTTCTAGTTCTAGAATTTCAAGTCTGGTGGCATAAGGTATTCTACAACGAGTAGAAGAGTGGAGAACTCTCCTTGTGAAATATTTCTGGACTTTCTCAATTTTGCTAATATCAGATACGTAATGAGGGTTCCAGACTGATGAACTGTATTCGAGTATTGGTCTAGCAAATGTTTTGTATGCTCTGGTTAGTAGTGTGATATTACCAGAGAAAAAGCTATGTAGGATTAGGTTAACAACTCTTAATGCCTTTTTGGCTATGTAGTTGCAGTGGGCTCTAGCACTTAGATCATTAGAGGTGAGTATTCCAAGGTCCTTTACAGAGCTTGGGTCATCAACAAGATCTTGACTATTCAGCTTGTATTTTATTTTCTGATTTTTTTGCCAATATGTAAGACAGAGCATTTATTTGTTGAGATTTGAAGTTGCCATTTGTTTGACCATTCAGATACATAGTCAAGATCTTTTTGTAGGGTAGCAGTATTGTCTGTGGTATTGAACAGCTTTACATCATCAGCGAAGAGAACGCAATTGCTCTTAATATGATCACAGAGGTCATATATGTAGAGTATGAAGAGAGTTGGTCCTAGAACACTGCCCTGGGGGACACCACTATTGACAGGTACTGGATTTGATAGGACGCTCCCGATTTTGACCATTTGTTGTCTGTTTGCATAGATTTAAGTTCACCCTTTATATTCAATATTTCACCATATCTAACTGTTTGTTCCTTTTTATATGTTATTGGATATGAAAATGCTTCAATAGTTGATATAGTTGATAACCATATTGGAATTTTTAAATAATGTTGCCTTTTAATCTTCTCCCAGTTTAATAACAAAGCTTCTCGTATATAATGTCTTCTGAAATACCCCTTTGTTTTAGTTCCCTTGTATCATAAGAAGGCGTGCCATCCCAACAACAAATCACATCCTTCTAATTTCAATAATCTAGTATTTCTTAGTGTTATCCATTCCTTAACCCACATCAAGTTTGTCGCCTGATAGTATAACTCCCAATTAGCCAGGCCAAATCCTCCTCTTGTTCTAGCATCTTGCAATGGTTTTAGTTTTATTCTTGCTTTCTTTACCTGCCAAATAAACTTCCACACTATTTTATTTAAATCTTCAAAATAATCTTTCTCTAGCCTAATTGGAATTCTCTGGAACAGATAATAATATATTCATCTTAATTGTTGATATTGTCCCTATTAATGATAGTTGTAAATTTTCCAATTTTGTCAGATCTGTCACAATCCGTTGTTTGAGTTTATGATAATTATTCTATTTAAGTGTACTGCATCTTGCTGTCAAATGTATCCCCAAGTACTTAACCTTATTTTTGACCTGGATCTTCAAAACTTCTGCCAATTCTTCCTTTTGTCTTGCTAACATATTCTTTGTCAAAATCTTTCTTTATCTTTATTTATTTTCAAACCTGCTACTTTTCCATATTCCTCTATCTTTTTCCATCAATTTAAATCCTGTTTCTAATGGATCCTCTAAAATAAAAACCAGATAATCTGCAACTGCTTGCAATTTATATTCTTCCTTTTTAATTTTCTTTTCCTTCTCTAATATTTCTATTTAACACTTCTAATGTTAACACAAACAACAGAGGTGACAGTGGGCAACCTTGTCTTGTCCCTTTCCTTATATCAATAGAATCGGTCAGTTCCCCATTTATCATTACCTTTGCTGTTTGTTTATAATATATAGTTTCTATGGCTTGAGTGAATTTCTTACCAAAGCCCATCTGCTCCAGCTGTAATAACATAAATTGCCAATTAACTTTGTCAAGGCCTTTCTGTGCATCTAAAAATATCAAAGCCATTTGTTTTTCAGGATGTGCCTTGTAGTATTCCAAAGTGTCCAGAATATTCTCATGTTATCTTTAATTTGTCTCTTTGGCAGAAACACATTTTGATCTGGATGAATAAGGGTGAATAAAGGTGAATAAAGATGAATAAGGATGAATAAAGGTCTACTATTGACCTCACCCCTTTCCTAAGAGGTCTGTAGGGGGCGTGCATAAGCGCACCAACGTGCCTACCGTCCCTGTCCTATTGTTTCTCTTATTCTTCTTTTATTTTTCTTATATGTACCCATTTCATGTATTCACAACTATGTATACACTTATACTTATTATCTTGTAAACAATTGGCAAATCAAATAAATAAATAAATAAATAAATAAAGTTATTTAAATATCTTTTAAGTCTTTTTGCCAATATTGAAGCGAAGATTTTATAGTCTGAATTTAGCAGGGAAATAGGTCTATAGTTCTTAATTTGTTGTGGATCAGCGTCCTCCTTTGGCACAAGTGTGATATATGCTTCGATATATATATATTTAGTTCAATTTTATGTTTAATTGTGTCCATTTTTATTTTAATGTCCTTTTTATTTGGAAATTTCTCTAACTCTTTTTCAAGTCTCTTGTAATCATCCTCTAATGTTTTAAATGCTTATCTTTTCTTAGTATTTCTTTTCCTTGTATAGTAATACAATCAAGCCTCTGGTATGTGCCATCATTGTATCCCAAAGGTTTTGCATTGATGTGTCCTCTTTTCTGTTTTCTTCAAAGAAGAATGCCAATTCTTTCTCCATTTTTATGCAAAGTCCTTTTCTTTTAATATAGTATTGTTTAAAGTCCATCTAGATCTTCTCCTTTGTCCTTTCCATTTAATTGTCATTGGACTGTGGTCTGCCCAAGTACTTGTTTCTATATCAATTTCCTGTATATTAAAAATCAATTCCATTGACATTCATATCATATCTATTCTAGACCATGATGCGTGTCTATTTGAGTAAAAAGTATATTGTCTATTTTTAGCGTTTCTTTCGCTCCATGCATCTTTTAAATTCATTTCATCTGTCATTTTAAAAAAGGATTTTGGAAGAGTCTTTCTACTTTGCTTTATTGTTTTCTGTGTTTTATAGTCCAATTTCTCATTTACTATTCCATTAAAGTCTCCCATCATGCAAATATTAGCATAGTTCAATTCAATTATTTTCATGTGTAATTTTCTATAAAATTCTTCTTGGTTATCATTTGGAGCATAAATTGCTATTAAGAGTATTTTCATATTATTGTCCATTGTTTCCACCATCAAGATTCTTCCATCATCATCTGCATATATTTATTCTGCTGGGTTTGTGTCTCTAATATGTAAAACCACTCCTCTTTTCTTTTATCATGTCAACGCAGTAAATATTTTCCCTAATTTTGGCTGTATCAATATTTGTTCATGTTGCTTTTTAATATGTGCTTCTTGTAGACAGATTATATCAAATTTTAATTTCTCTAGTTTATGAAATGTTTTCTTTCTTTTGGTAGATGAATTAAGTCCATTTATATTAATTGTAATCAATTTTTTCTCTTCCATATTTATATTTTATAAGAGCTTACTGCTCTTGTAGATCTTGGTTCTCCTTGTTCTCTAGATTCCACATTGCCGCCTACTGCACCTTCTTCTTTTTCAGTTACTGCTAAACATTCCTCTTGGAATTCAATTAATGACTCTTCTCTTCCTGTCTCTCCCTCTAAAATATTCTGCATGAAATAGTTCTGCTTTCTCAGTTGAATCTATTCTGAGTCTTTATTCTTGCCATGTAAACATGAGACCTTCTGGTATCAGTCATCTGTAGTTAACATCTTTCTTAAGTAATATTTTAGTCAGAAATTGATATTCTCTGCTCATCTCTCTCATACTTCTCAGTATTTGTTTCAGGACCACAATTTCCTTGTCTTTGTATTTCAGTGTTTTCTCTCTTGCAATCTGTAGTATTTGCATTTTGATTGCTTTCTTAGTAAATCTTATATGGACTTCTCTTGATAGTTTATTTCTCATTGCATACCTTGTAAAAACTTGAAACAGCTCATCTATTCCATCCATCATCTTCTCTTTGGCTATCTGCAATGCCTCTACCAGGATTTCTATCATTATGTCTGCCAAGTTTTCTCCCTTTTCTTCTATGTTTTGAAATCTAGATAAAATTCTGATCTGTCAATCTCCCATCTCAATATTCCACTCTTGTCTCTTTCAACCACATTCAGTCTGTTATTAATATCTCCAGTTTTCTTATCTCTTTGTTCATCTTTTTCTTCAATTTTTTGGAGTCTATCTTCATATTGTGTCAACATTTGGTGTATATTCACCACTTTTCATCTGTTTTTTCTGTTCTCTGTTCAATATTCTCTCTTAATCTATTCATCTATTATTAATATTCTCTAATAAATTTTTGCAGGTCAATCATAATAAAAAGTAAAAATAAACATCTTCAGGTTCTTCTATACCTTAATCCAATTAAGTGGAGTGGGATAAACCAAATATTACAATTAACAATCTCCAGCAGAAAAAAAAAGAGAAATATATGTAAAAATAATATTTCCAAAGAAAAGGAGAAAAGAAATGCACCTTCTCTAGAAAAAGCAAAGGAAACACAGGCTTCTCCTCCAAAAGGCCACAGTCCAGCTAAAAATAACTAAGTGAGGGGGAAAGTAGAGAGGTAACACTAAAAAAAACCTAAAAAAGTTTTCTGTCAAAGAGAAAAAGCTGCCACTATATAATATCCAAGACACTTCTGTTGAATTCCAAACAAAATTTACAGTTCTCTTTCCAAGGTCACTGCAATCTTCTTTCTTTCAACTCTGAGTTTTCTTTCAACTCCAGACTCCAGCCACTGATAGTATCCCAGAGGAGAACCTGTATAAACTATCTTCCATGCTCATCCCACTATCTTCTCAATAAACAGGCTCAGAGTCCTTGAAATTTAATACCAGCTCTTACTTTTCTCAAAGTTATCAAACACTCAAACAAGAGAAAGAAAACAATGTTTCCAAGCCACTGAGTGGCAGTGTTACTTATTATCCTCTACTTTCACTTCTCTCCTTATATTCAAAACAAAAGAAAAAGAAAGAAATTAAGAAGTACAAATAAAACTATACAATAATGCATTGAAAAAAGAAAAAGAAAGAAAGTCTTAAACAAAAAAAATTATTAAGTAGTTATATAAAAAAGGAAAAAAAACACAGTCCAGTTTGAAATTAAAAAGTGTTTGTAAAGAATCCAGCAATAAAAAGGATTAAGAAAAACCACTAAGTTTGACTCAGGCTTAATCTCGCCACTTAACCTCTTCTGTCTAAAAGACTAAAAGATGTTTTCTTTTAGTCTTTTAGTGTGTTCTCTCAAATAATAATTAGAAGTTATCTCACCAAACTGACACACTTTCTCTCCAGCTTTCTTCCGTTCCGGAGCTGTCCCAGCTTCAGCAGCTTCAATGGCCGCTTCTCTGCCGCTGGAAAAAAGGGCTTCTCCTGGATCTACCAAGGACTTTGTGATGTCCCTGGGATCAGCAGGATGTGCCCTTCTCTATCAACATCTCTACAGGGCGGTTTAGGTCCAAAAGGACCGCCCAGCAACAGAGATATCGATGGAGATCTTGGAGCTTCAAGATCGCACGTCGTACTGCTGCGACACCAGCCCCGCCCTCCTGCATTCAGCCTTTCTTATGGTCCAACTTTCACAGCCATACATTGCAACTGGGAAAACCATATTAACAATAATATAATTAACAATAATATAATTAATATGAACAATCACAGGATTATCTCTAATCTTATTTTCTTTTGCTTTATTCTGCAGGTGCACCTTTTGATCCTCAGCCATTTGTCGAAACTGCAGTCACCAACATCATGTCTTCCATTCTGTTTGGGAAACGTTTTGAAAACAATGACAGCTCTTTAAGGACTGTGCTGAACATTTTACATCAAAATCTCAAACTGCTAGTTGGACCCTGGGCCATGGTATCCTTGATAGGAGCACAGGAAAACAGTCACAATTCTCAGAGATGCTAATGGGAATTTCAGTCTATTGGAATTAAATGTCCACCTCTCTAAAAGTTGTTGAGGTTGGAAAATACAAATCTGCAGGATATTATAACACCGGTAGATGAAATGCTTCATATATTTTAGAATTCCATCCAATTTTCCTTGCATAACTTTATTTACTTTTAAAGGAATGTCATAATTTGATGACTGACTTGGTTGAGCCTGCAGGAACCAGAGTTAATTAGAGCATGACACCGCTTTATTGAAATATTAACTTTGTGAATATTTGTGCCCTATCAAAAGTTGAACATGAAATAACCTTCATGAGTATAGATAGTCAAAGGTGTTTTTTCTCTCCCAACACACCCTACAGTGTATATTACCTGATGATCAGTTTAATTAATTTTGATTTGTTTTCTCCTTTTTGGTAGCTTTACAATGGTGTGCCCTTAGTGAGAAGGCTTCCCCTGCCACATCAGAGAATAGTAAGAAATGCCCAAAAAATCTTTGCTTTCCTTGAAAAAGAGGTGGAGGAACACAAGACAATGTTTATTTCTGGAGAAACCCGGGATTTCGTTGACGCATACCTAGAAGAAATAAAGAAGGTAAAAAAAAATCCACCCCCCTTTGTTTGATTTTACACTCTTTTGTATAGTTTTTCTCATTGAGTGGTGCAGTGGCCTAGAAGTGGGGCTCTCACCTCACAATTAGGAGGCTGTGAGTTTGATTCTAGATAGAGGCAGATATTTCTCTCTCTGGGCACACTGAGAATATATCCGCTGAACAAAACTCCGCATTGGCAACAGGAAGGACATCCGGCCAGTAAACAATCTGCTTTTCTCATCTTGTATCTGTGGCTACCACATTACAGTTGTGTGACTATGAAAAACAGATATCTTGTGGATGGCCCTAACCTCATTTGATAATCTAATTACATACAAAATTGGTTGCTTGGTTAGTTAAACAACTTCCATAGAAACTCTTTGGAACTTTGTGTGAATGGGAGTTTTGTCCTAAAGAAAGGACCAAGCTATTGTGTTATCTCGTCTATGGGACTTTGCTTAGCCTGTGGCATAAACCCAGCCAACCCATTGTCCTATAAATCAGAACACGAACAAATATGAATTTCATTCAATAGATATGATTGGAAAATATTCTAGAATAATGCAAATGGTCCTCATTTTTTAACCCCAGTTGGGACTGGAGCTTCCATCACTAAGCAAGGCATTTGTGAAGCAATTCACACCCGATTTTACAACCTTGTAGTGTTAAGTGAATCACTGTGGTTATTAAGTAAATCCATCTTCTCTCATGGACTTTGAGAGTGGGAACCTTGTAAATGGTGATCACATGACCCATGGATTCTGCAACCGTCATAAATGCCTGCTAGTTTCCAAGTGCCCAAATTCTGATCATGTGACTGCAGGACAGTGTAATGGTCTTAAATGTGAAAACAGTCCCTAAGTCATAAGAAATTCTATTCTATTCTATTCTATTCTATTCTATTCTATTCTATTCTATTCTATTCTATTCTATTCTATTCTATTCTATTCTATT